CCTATGAAATATACTTTACTGGAATCTAATAAATTATGCTGACAGGCTCAGCGGAAATCGGCCCCAGGTCACAGCTTTCAATGCATTCTCGATAAAGCTATCAACGACCGGTATCCTACTCTCAGACTTCCGGGTACAACTACCTTGCTTATTAGCGGAGACTCTTATTCCGTGAAATAGCTGCGACTTTTAAGTTGAAGAGATTATTACCCTCGTAGACCTTTGTCTGCGTCACCTTAAAGGGGGAGGGGTTGTGATAAAAATTACCTATTCTCTGAGGGTCAAGGGATTGAGAGGGAGCTAGATGGTTTTAGGTACTGTTCCTTTCCTTACGATACCTCGAAATCTGCTGCCCGGATTTTGTTTAGCTGGACCTAACCCACTCTTATGGCCATAACAGATGTGACATATCTGCCCATGCATATCCTTGTCTTCCGTGTCAAGCATTAACCGTGCTTTCGTTTTACAGGTTATAAATCTTAATGATGAGAATCCACAGATCACCGTTGATTACGTGAGCAATGAGGACGTCAAACACAAGCGGGTTATGGAGAACGGAGACGTTGGCTTTTTTATCGCCCTTATACGCGTCACTGATGCGGACGCTGGATATCTCAAGGGCCCGCGGCGTGCTGATGATCCCTACAGTCTTGAGTCCTCTAGCCTACCCTTCGATCATACCTTTTTATCAATGTCCGACCTCGCGGGCACAAACGACCCACATGGTGCCGGACAAGTATCTTGCCAATTGATCAGTTATGAGGCGAACTACACTCTGAGTGAGAGACCAGATTCCCTGGGAAAGGAGTACGTACTGTCTACGAGAACACCCCTTGACAGGGAGGCGGAAGAACGTCAGTTCATCGAGGTTGCGTGTTCCGACCATGGCTCTCCGCCGAGGACTTCGACAGCCACAGTAGAGGTACGCGTATTTTTACGCCTACTTAAACGCTTTAAGTACACACTTATTTGATATTAAAATTAAACATGATTGTGCTTACCTAGGTGGAGATATTGGACCAGAACGACTGCGACCCGGAAATCCAGGTCTACTCGATTCCCGCAACTCGCACTGGAAGAACACTTCAGTCGCCCCTGCCTCGAAGCCGTCTAGCACAGGTCCTAAATGAATTTCCTAAATCACAACCAACCCCAGTCGATCATTCCTTATTTGCTGCCTATTCTGCCGGCATCCCCGTCGTGCCGGTCAGCATCTTGGAAAATCAGCTTGCCGGCGTGACTGTAGTTTCGGTTCGTGCTGTCGACGATGACGCCGGTGCCAATGGACAGGTCAGCTTTAAGATCATAAAGGAAGAAACTTCCTTTCCACACGTCAGTGCCACCTCACCTCAAGACTACCCCACGGGACGTTATCCAGAAGCCGAACTGGACTTCTCTGCTCCACATGTCCACATTGCGAGTGACATCGAGGCGACAGACCTATTTCAGGTAACATCAAATCTAGTTTTTCAATCAAATCCTTCCCTTTTATAGCCTAAAGTACATCGTTTGATTGTAGTCAACAGAGGCGATAGTCTAATTTGGTCGTGCACTTATCTCTTTCTCCATTAGGATCTTAAGTGGTTTGGGATACTCCATTTTGTGTGGTAGAATTCAGTCTATTCCTAACCCTTACACAAGTCAGAAGGAGAAAGGGAGGTTTATTTTGTATCTGACGTTTCGGATAGTTGTCTCGTCTATCCATCTT